ATATATATATATATATATATATATATATATATATATATATATATATATATATATATATATATATATATATATATATATAATACTTCTATTAAAATATATAATACTAAATTTTATCATAAAATTAAATCATCATTATTATCATTACATTTATATTCGACCATTCACAGCTTCTAATTTATCTTTCTTTCAACATACCTGGCTCGAAATTCCTCTTCATACGCCGCCACTGTCTCGCGTAGACGAGAGCCGAACATCCTGCTACCAGAAAGAATACTATGCAGGCGCACACCGCGAGGACCAAAGCGCCGGTCTGCCAATCCCACGGGAGATTGTCCACGCCGGTTGATTTTCTCCTCTCCCGAGGATCATGTGCCACCTGCAGTCAACGTTATCCCAGCGTTATCGCATCGTCGTCATGTAAATCACCAGTTTCGAAAGCATTCGAAACGCGACCAATTTTGGCAATACGATCATGCATAGCATAGCAAACAGAGAGAAAGCAATGTCAAGTTTCGCCAAATTGAAGCTACATGATAATTTTTATGCGCTCTCCATTCTACGCTCGTCAATTGAAAAGACATTATTTTTTTCGTTTGAGTTGAATTGCTACTTTTAATAGTAGCCTCATCGATTTGAGTCATAAGCAATTAACTCTTTGAGTACCGAGTGTTTATGTTTGAAATTTTAAAATAGTGTTATTTTAATATCAGATATATCAGAGATATCAAATATATATAAATGATTTTTCAAAAATTTAATTTGTAGAGTAATTTTGAGACAAAGAAAAGTTAAATTTTATCATGATAAATTAGATAATTGATGAAAAGACGTAAATTGTTATTTTTCAAGATAAATACATTATCGCTAGATAGCTCTAAAAAAAGTTCTATTAAACGAAATAATAAAACAATCTCGAAATAATTTTCAAAAATATTAAAAGATAATATCGTATCCTTAAGGATACATCGGGATTAAACTTAATATTGACATTGATATCGATAGATAAATTTTCATATAAATCCAATCTACCCCTTCTTACCTTCGACTCTTGCGAAGCGGAGACCGGTTCCTCGTCGTCCAGGACACCGTTGTCCTCGCGACTGAGACCGACGAGATCACCGGTTTCTTCGCGAAGTTGCTCTTGCCGTTCCTCCGTCGACTCGGGCAACTGCCAGAGCATCTTCGAAGTGACTGCCTCGAGGCGACGTTGTCCAGCTTCCGGCCTCTTTTTGGTCGACAAGAAGGACCAGTCGAGCTCCAGCGCCGACAGCGGACCGCATATCGCGTCTTTGTGCACTGTGCACGGGCTTAACGTGAACTCGGGAGCGCATCGCGTGCATGGCCAGCAAGAGACGCGATCCGTAGACCAGAACTCCAAGCCGGGCTTGCAGATCGGATGCTGCGCGCCGGATGTCGTGCCGGTGGTCTCACACAGGCCGACGAATATCGACACCAGGGTCAACAGCAACCCCCGACAGGATTCTCTCGGCATCACCTGCGATCATCATCACATCTGTTAGATGGACTTCATCAAACTTCACGAAACAAACATGCGTAGATTTTTTAAAAATTTGTGAATTCTCCAAGCACTAGATTCTTTTAATAAAAAATGCAATGCATTTTTTCACAGGACTATCACTCTATATGGACTCTATGTATACAGGCATAGAGCTATAGATACTTGGTATAAAAAAAAAAAAAATTGCAGGTGATAATCAATAGATTGTTTTAGCTAATCTACAAAGCCATTTGGCTCGAAGTTTGAATGTGTCTCAACTCGCAAAATAGTGAACGTGACGCTTAAAGGGTTAATATGAAATATCGGCTGTTAGAAAAGAAGATGTGTTTGTGCGCGTGTTTCCGCGTTCAGGATTTCTCTTTCGCGAAAAATGAGATTTTCACGACGATCCATTGACGCGAAAATCCCCCGGTGTCGTGACCGCGCGTGCCGCAGCAACAGATCCGTATAGCAGCTCCGGGCTCGGCGTTATAACATTGTGAAGAGGCGACGTCGATCGCGCTCGATCGCCGTAATTCGAGCGTATAAAGCTGCTCTTTAAGCCGCAAAAGCGCTCAGACCGTTTCCACTTCCGGCTCGTTTGCGATGTAATTACATCCGCAGTTGAATCGCGATCCATCTACGTCATAGCTCGCGGCCGTCTGTACGCCTTCGTTTCCGCGCACGAGCGAACGAACGAGCGCGCGCATAAGTGTACGGAAAACTTTTACAGTCTACGGATTTCGTATAATCCGACAACAATATATATATATACAGAGTAAGATGCGTAAAGCGTGACCAGTGAATATCTCCCAAAATATTGACGAAAAAGTTTTATCATACAATGATAATTCGAATAAAAAGAGCTTCATAAAGCATAGTTAAAGTGTTTTATATACAAGAATTACACTTTTTAGATGTACTTATTATTCTCTATATGAATAAAAATTCGTCTTAATATGCAATTCGATTGTGTACATTAAAAAAACGTGTAGTTTCATTTAACAAAAACTAATGACCTCGAAAAATATCCTAATAATATATTAATATAGAAAAAAAATTAATGTATACAGAAAGTATGAAAAACCTCAGCACTTTCACTTTGCCCGATAAAATTCTTTTCTGTCGTTAATGTTTTTAAAGATATTCACTTGGCATGCTTTACACATCTCTGTATGAACTGCGTGTTGCGAAGGCATTACATTCTCGCGTCTTCGCACATTTATTCGGATAATACTCGCTTTGGCGAATGACAAGGAGCACTCGGGTATACGGCGTGCAATACGTTGTGTATACGCATAAAAGGGGTCCTCGTAGTTTCTCGCCTATTTCAAATTGCCTGCGCGGCCGCGCTCGCGCGCGTGTCATATTTCTCGATGGCGCACAGCGCACGTACGCAATCGTGCGCGATCAGAATGCAACACCTCGATCCGTTCACTCGTGGGACTCGCCGTTGCAAATGCAATCTTCCGCCGAGCTCATCTCTTCGTGATTAGGATGCCAATTGAACACCTCAAAAACCATTACGAACATGACGTCGCATTGTGCAGCAACAATTTCGTTGCGTTCGTATGCACGATAACACTAGAAAAGAGAGAATAGAAGGAAATATTTGAAAGTCAAGTGGTAAGTATGATTAGCGCGCTATTAACCCTTTGAGTCTTGGCATATTCTTTAGGATACGACATGTAACATATCTAGAAATAAAAATATTCTGATTGATCTACGTCGTTGAATCAAGTTTGAAATTATCCATTTATATAGTAATAGTTTACTTATGTTGAGAGGAAAAACAACTGAATATAAATTGTCAGCAATTTTAAAACCGTTTCTGAAACCACTTTTCAAATCAAATATTTAAAAGACTATTTATATGTATCTAATATATCAAAATAACAAATTTTTATTAAAACAATATTAAATTTTAAAAATTAAAATTAAATTAAAAATTAAAACCGAGCTTCAAAGAGTTAAAGATTCCCACACACATAGAAAGTAATTTATCACATAAAGTTGTTTTATATGTTTTCATGTAAAACACGTTCGTTATCAGTCCATAACAACACGATTTTTGACTCAGTATTTAATAAGATGGAAAATTGAAAATATACATATGAGATAAACGATAAATTGAAAACAGTAATAATATTACTTTAAGATATGCGTTTATGATTAATTAGTCATTAAATGATACTCTCGTCACTGTCTCATCGCAGTCGACAAATGGCTTAACACGGCCACATGTGTGCTTCTAATAATAGTAACTAAAAAACCGCCCTGACTCTGAGGAATAAGATCCTAAACCGGTTTACGTTCTATCGCGTTGCGTCCTGCAGGTTCAGATGCAACGTTCTATGTAGGAAACGTATCTCGATTCAATTGAATTCACTCAAAATCGGAGTTATATAGTGGACATTGCGACACTTCTGCATCTCATGAAACCAATAGTCCAAAAAATCCTTCAAACCGATAACGGCTTGCGTAATACATAAATAACACGAAATAACATTAAAAAATAATATATTTCGCGTGTCATTTATATTTATTCAACGATGTTGATTGTACCGCTAAAAAATATTACAGTATCACATATTTACTTTGATATCGCAAATGTTCCAATCGATTTCTACACGGAGAGAATGCATATGCACATATATATATATATATATATATATATATATATATATATATATATATATATATATTGTAGTCTTTTTTATATAAATTTTTTCAAATTTTACAATGTTTTCTAGCACAAGAATAGACTGCCAGTATTTTGTTAAAAAATATGCAGTACATTCTTTAATAGTAAATTTCAGTTTATAAAGTATAAATAGAATATATGAAATAAAAAAATAATAAAGCAGAATGTCGATACGTTTCACGACTAGAAAATTCTGTGGTATTTTTTACTATAAGATTCTTATAGTATAGATATATGCTTCTTTAGAGATATCTGCTTTGCCACTTTGTTTCTCTTTTCTCATAATCGCGAAATTAATAGAGCTTCAACGGCTATGTGCCGTGGAAGTAACGAATTTACTCGCGGGAAAGAGGGAACGCGCGACAGTGTTTTATGGGTAACGTCTGCCGAAGCGAAAGAATGCCGGAGCTTGATACGGCCGCACGTGTTCACTTAATGACGCTAATAAGACGGCTCTTTTCTCTCCCCGGAATGCGTGCAAATAGTTTTAAGTGATGACTCGAATTACGTCGCGTCGAACACCAATGCGGAGCAACACGCGTTGCTGACTATAAATACATTAAATAAAAAAACAATAGTAACAACAAATATCAAGAAAATCTTCATCGTGAAACTATCTGTATATCTTAGAGAGAGAACAACTCTCTGTTGTTATCAGAGTTCCGACAATTTCGTAAAAAATAGTCATCGTGTTCTCGGAGACAATTGTCCGTTTACAGAACAGAATTAACGCGATGATTTATAGACATCCTGTACGTACATGTATATGAAGAAGCTACGATAGAGAGTTACAATTAGGTAGATTGGCCACGACATCTCGCATGTGTCAGTGTCGCAACACGACGGTGAATGTCGTAGTGAATAGATTTCCCGAGAGAAACGATTAATTGCAGTTTTCTTTAACTGGTAACGGCAGAAAATTCCAATGCGTAAACACCGATCGGTCGTCAATAACTCACGTCTCGGAGCATTGTTTACGAATTCCGCATCGCGTACATCGAGAGAAAAAATATATCTAAGAAATAGTAAATATTCGGTAAGTACTAATAAAACACACACACATGCACACACACACACATACACATATTTACTTATCTACATACTAATATAAAATATTCTTCAAATAAAGAAATATACATTTTCTTAAAACTTTAAGAAAATTAGAGTTTTTCGTGAAAGTAATTGTTTATTCTATTTAAACAAAAGAATTTAGATTTAAATAAATATGTTATCAGTATTCAATAAATAAATATTTACTACTTTTAGATTTTTTGTGTGTACACAAAGAGATTATAATTTTTTTTCATATGACATTCTTTTCAATTTTACTATATGAATTCATCTTGTTAAGGAATATAGTATATCTTATTGAGGAACGTGATAGAATTTTTGACATAAAAATGTAACAGAGACTTCCTAAAATATAAATAGCAGATATGAGGAGAATGGAAGGTTAACAAAGTAAAACGAAATTTCAATATGTTCCTGTGTTATAAGATTTTATAGTAATTTTTATCACAAAATTCTTTTCGTGTATACCGGGCGGACAAATATCCTCTGATCGACGACGTACATCGTCCCGTCAGGTTTATCTACGATCTCCATTGGCGACAGAGGCACGATTCGAAGGCACTTTCGAGGAACTTGACGTGACTCTCGATACGAACGTGGCTCGCGCAACGCGGGAAACCTAAATACTTCGCGGACACGTTCGCCAGCGACAAAAGGCCGTTATACGATCATGCCGACGTACGCATCGGGGATTGTTATTGAGACCTGCTCGCCGTGACGGTAAACGAAATGAAGATCTGCTTCCCTCAATTTCACCGATGAATCTCTTATTAACCCTGTAACACATAAAGCGCCTGGCTACTTATATCTAGGTGACGCGTGAGTTGCCGCAGTGATGCAAGTAAGTAACGACATCCACATGTAGGTGACGTTTCTTACTTGTCTGATTAGTGTGATACTTCTATTAAGTATTTAAAAGAATATCCAGTAGAAAACGACAAAATATTATCAACACGCTAAAAATTTGGGTCTGCTGGGACTCGCACGTGAGTGTAACGTGGCGAGCAATGTATGAAGGACAGAAATCGGCTCAAGTAAGCTATTTCTGAATCGGAAAGAATCAAGTGAAATATCAATGCAAAAAGGACTTACTCCATTATTTTCTCTAGTATAAGATAATCATATATCATATTCTATGAATTAGTTATACATGTGCAACTGCCGGAACTAATAGAAATGCTTCTAAAGGAAGAGATGGTCTCTAAGAACAACTCGTTAAATATTATTAGTGCGAATTTCAATTAAATTATAGGAAGCTAATAATTTTTGACAGTCTGATAACAAACGCGCCATTGTCAAACGTTATTACCCTCCCATAAGTTAATTTAAATTCGCATTAATATCTAACGATCGACTGTTAGATACTATCTCTCTATCTTTGATTGTACGTCTCAAAGTCCTTTTAGAAGTTATCGAGATATTTTACAGTCAATGGGCGTACCGTCTCGGTGTGTAGATTCAGATCGTTTATTTGCGCCTCCCGTCCTTAAAGCGTTAACATTAAATCGCAGGTTTCGTATACAAGAATCGCTAGCATCTACAATGAAATTTTAGGGAACAGATAGACCACAAGGAGGATAAACGCAAGGACGAAGCGCAGTCGCGCTTCCTTTGCTTTTCCACGGGCAGCAGTGTCGGTTCCTACGCGCGCACCACCACCGTTTATTTACAAGCGAGATCTTCAATAAACATCGAAAAAATAGCTCCACTTTAGAGCGCGAGGATCTCGGCCACGTGTTTTATATACCGCGTCGAATCGTGTCGGGGGTCTATCGAGAGCGCGAGGCGGATACACGATGATAATAGCTACTCGCGTTGCGAGGGGATTTCGGGAAACTGTACATCGTACATCACGATTTTTCGTAACGGGGAAAGCGCGTCCGTACGTGCCGAGCGTCGGTTTTCGTTTACATACATTAAATATGCAAAACGAGCATAACAAGGTACACTAAAGTGTAACAACACGCGACCGTCACGTCATCACACCACGGATTTATATACATAAACTGAGGAAAAGTGCTCCAGGAGAAGACTCGACTGCAAAAAGTATACCCTGTTATTGCAGATATTTGATCTTAGTTAATGCAGTTTGACTTCTATTGGGCATTTCGAGCGTTCTTCAATAGCAGTCAAACTAAACAAAAGTCGAATGCGACTGTGGATAGTCGAACGGGAACACAGTTGTCCTTCAAATTTTGTCTTCGAATTTCTCATAAGTGCAGTCTATGTATATAAGTCTATGCGTCGCATCTGTTAGTTCTTATAGCGCATCGATATTTCGTGTGAACTCGGATTGCAAATATTGTTCGAGGACGCCTGATTATCAGAAAGATAAAAATTACGATGAAAAATTTGTGAATTCCTCAATAATACAATATCACGTCAATTGCTCCGACTTTCCTCTTTAAACCCTTGAGTCCGATTTTATTTTGAAAATTTATTTTACTTAAAATTTAATATTACTTAAGAGAAGAAATATCAGATATAAATAACATGCTAAAACTGATCTGAAAAGTGATTTCAGCAGGAAAAGGTTAAAGAATTCTATTGTAAAAAATTTAAAAAAAATTAATAACAAAAGTCAGTTGTTTTCTTTCAACATAAGTATAACTACAAATAAGGATAACTCCAAAAGCACTTTGTTAAGCGATATAGATAGAAAGTATGTATTCAAAGAAAATACTAAATACTACTTATACAATAATTTTGTATTTAGAAATATTATATGTCGTATCCTTAAAGATGCGCCGGAACTCAAAGGGTTAATCGTTCGTGAATATTTCAGTTCTCGGAAGTAAAAAGTCGGCCTTAGACGCTCCTGGAGCGATTTTAGCGATTCGACCGCGATGTGAGTGTCGTTGCCACTTGGTCGCGCTGATCGCCGAGAATCGCCGGATCGATATCGCGCACACAAGTAGTGGATCGTGCAAAGGATCGCGCGTACTCACGCTGCCTTCGGTGGAGTCGAGTTTGTCATGATGTAATCCGAGGCGACGCAGCCGACGAAGAAGAGAAGACGGGTGCGGTGTGTAGCCACAGTGATAACTTCTCGGGGATCGTCACTATGTCGCACAGCACGCAGGTGACCTGTTGAAGCACTGAACCGTATAATCGGCTACAGTGGTTTCGCGAATTTTAACGAAAAATAAATAAAGAAAAAAAGGACAGTGTCTTTCGGAGCGCGTGTTAACGTCGCGACGTCGTGTTGCGTCGTCGTTCTTCACCGGAACGGAGAGAAGGAGAGAAGACAACGATAACCGGACACTACATTATGTACAATTTTGCTGCGGTTTTACTGTCTTCAGTGCACGCGCACACGCGAAACGTGCGTACCATCGCGCGGTCGCGACGCGACTAGTCCGACGAGTTATACTGATTTCCGCCCACGACCTAATCGCGGCGAGTCGGACGAACGGCAGCGGGGAGCGAGAGAGTGGTGTGTGCGGAAAGAAAAAGAGAGAAAGAGATGGTATGTGTGTGTGTGTGTGTGTGTGTGTGCGAGAGAGAGAGAGAGAGAGAGAGAGAGAGAGAGAAACGGAGAGACAGAAAGGTGGAGAGAAGGATATCGAGACACAGGGACGTTCTCTCGTCTAGGTCCATAATCTCTTTCTTTAGGGATTGTGTAATTTATCAGGTAACTGAGAAAACTTAGTCGATTTCGATAGAGAGATATATTTGCACGGGATTTTTTCATACGTGTATGTAACTATTTAGCATATCTTTCTCTAATAAATTATACAAAAAGAAAAACAGTTAATTCGGTAAACTATGCAGAGAGTATTTTATAGTAATAGTATCTAACATAATTAGTATGAATAAATTAAATGTGATTAAGTAATAAAAATAAATTAAATATAATTTTAAAAAATAATATTGTATCTGAGAGAATATATCGACATTGTCTTTATTTTTTGCTATTTATACTTTAGCATAAATGGAATCTACTACATATGGAATATTTGTGATATAGTAGAACATACGTATATATATATACGTATATGTATATGTCTACTATTTAAAAATGTTTACTATGTTCTTTATAAAGTTAAATTCTATCGGTAAACTATTTTTGCGCTACTAGAAAATAAAATAAAAGACAAAAAACTTTTATGAAAAAAGAAACTATAATATTCTCTCTTAGGAAACTTTGCGCGCGACTCTCTAGAAATGTATCTAAAAGAATTGTATTACAATCGTTTTACGTCTATAATTAGCAAGGCCAGATTCTCTAAGAAACGATTGATTTGCTTCACGATTTTTATACGAGTTTTATTTATTTATATTGATCAATATGTAATGAAGTAAACTTGGCTCAGGGCCCGTAAGTAAGGTAAAACGGTTCTGACGAGGTCGAGGTAGCAGTGTGGACCATTGAGATCGGCGGTTTGATCGTAGAAGAGGAAATCTCCGGATAGGGAGAAAGAAAGGGATAGTTGCATGGAGTCTTTAGAAGAGAGGAGTGCGGGAGGGTCGACAGGTTCTGCTGATGTATATTATATGTATAGGTACGCGATCTTCTCTTTACCTGAGATGATTAACTCTACGAGAGATAACTCCGCTTTGCGGAGTGGTCCAGCGCGTATTTTCCTCTCTCTCTCTTTCATTCTTTCTCTACCCGTCTCTCTGCATTCCACGGTGGTATTAACCCTAGAGTCGAGCTGGATCAACGAACCGAGATGCTGGGTTAGCATCAGCAGCATCTTTCTGGTTTACCTGTAAGTACAAGCGGATGAAACAGATTTAGCTATACAGAATAGGATTAAAATCAATTCAGCACTGTTGAACTATATCAACAGGTTCTAACAAAACATAAGTTTAACACATTGATATCATAATGACATTAACATTCGAAATTTTAAGCGGTGTAGAGAGAAATGCAGTTTCTCTATCTAATACGTTTCTCGTCCTGTTAAGCTGTTTTGGCTTCCGAGTTGGAACCGCATTTATTGTGGATTTGTTTCCGAATATTTCAGAAAGAGAGGAGCGCAACCTGAAAATAGTTGCTTCTCTCTCTCTCTCTCTCTCTCTCTCTGAAGAAACTAACTAAAATGTTCACGAAACGTCGGAAACAAATCTACAAAAAATGCGGTTCCAATTCAGAGCCAAACCTAGAATTAGAAAACTTTGCTTTCATTTAAAAATCAGTGTTATTTGAATGTCATTTTATATATGAATTATATTCCATGCAACTTGTTACTTTTAAACATTACGTTTATGATTAATATCCAAGACAGATACAATAACTATCTCATAATTCAATTATTCTTTTTTTTGCATATTGTAATATAATTTACAATATTCCACATAATTTACCTTGTTTATGTGAAAAATGACAGTGTACAAATCACGTAAAAAATATATAAATCCGCGTGGACGTAATTTTGAAATCTACAGCACAATCCTGCCTCTAACATTTTACTTAATGTATAACAGATGCACCTAACGCGATATGAGTAATCTACGTTTTTACCGGCGCTTCCATCGCTTGAGACTAAAAAACCCGCGTCGCGTTATTACGCTCGCGCGATGGCTCAACGTAGATCGATCGTCGAAACAAAAGTCGCTATCGTTCATTCATCAGTTCGCATCCTGATTCGTTTCTTGGCGCGTGAGGTCTCTCAGTGAAATTAATTATATAGCTCGCTACTACATACATTGGAGCCGGCGCGAATCAGGAAGCTGCTGTCAGATATTACCGCGATACAAGCGACTTAATTATATCAAATGGCATATTAATCATCCGAAGTAACGCATCCCAATCTCATTACAACACCGCTGCATTCCTGGCTAATTATCCGCGGTCGCTCCGTGCGGCGTGAGCACGTGGCGCGCGCCTAATATCTGCACGGCAAATCTGCCGTTGAATCGCTAATTGCACAAACCACCGAATTGTATTTCGCGATCAACGACGATACATCGACTTGAGCCCGCCGGTCTATCATCATTTCGGCCCCAGCAATCGCGCTATATCGGCCCTTACAGGTGTAAATTTATTCCTCTGTATCTCGCCGTCCGTTCCTCCCCTCCTCCTTTCCTCCCCGTCCCGCCGCCGACCGTAAGAAGTGTAATCATCGCCGATTCTCCCGTCGGCTATCATTTACGACCGGATCGGGCTCCGCCGAGCGTTGCAAATCAGGAAACGGAATTAGGGAAACGGAAGGAAGCGGGAGGAGCACGGGACTAGTTAACAGTGACGAAGCACAGATACGTGCATTACGTGCCGCACTCGGAAGCCCTGTGCTTCCTCAGGGCTGGACTTAGACCAATTCCAAGGGGTTCTTACGGAAAGGAAAAACTGAGTGGATCTGTAACTCGTACATAGAATTTTATAGTAAAGACTACTGTAAAATTTGTCGCCAAGGAACACTTTAATGTTCTCTACCTTAATTTATTACCCTTTCATCTCATATATGCTATATCTGACTTTTGCTGTGGCCATCTTAATTGATAATGACATCAGAAACAATACACGCTAAAAATTATTGCAAACTACGTAGAAATAAAAAGATGTATCCACGAAACGATACTTGCAATCAATCGATCAGATATGTAGTAAAATTATCCAAATTTCCTTTTGTTCAAACAATAAACTATAAAATTAACGTGACAAAATCATGAAGAAAAATAGGTTATATGTTACATTAACTTTATTGATTTATTAATTTTGCGTTAATTTTATTGATTGTCAGAGGAAAAAAAGCGTTCAGACTATTTTACAAATCTACTTAATCTATTGCGTCATTTTATTGACATATCTTTTTACTTTAATGTATTCTACAAAAATTTTTACCAGAATCAAGTTTTGCAGTAAAGAACTAGAAGCTTCAAAAATTTACTATGTTTCATAGCAAAATGAAAATATACTCCACTGAGCTTATTTTTGCATTACTAGGGAGAGAAAACATAGTCAGATTGAAAAGAATTTTAATATGTAAGAGGAAGACAATGACATTCTGTTTGTATACTAATATATGTAAAATTAATTTTAGATATTAATTTTAAGTATAAAATTGTAAACTTTATATAATATTTAGGTTTACTTTGTTTTTTATTAAACTCTTCAACATAAAAGCTAACAATAAAAAATTGACTTAAATTTGGTCCTATTCTCTATAAGATAAATAAAAATTTTTCTCTTTTCTTTCCTTACTATGTAACGACAAACATAAAATACATACTTGTTTAACATGATATCTTGTAATATATAAAATTACCTATTTTTTCTTATACTGATCGTACCGAAGAAATAAAACTCGGATTCCACGTTTACTCCGATTCTGAGTGTGACATTCTTCCCTCATGCCAGGATTTGTTATTCTGTTTCCTGTCCTTCCCATGGCAGGATATCCCTGAAAAGTATCACCCGCGTGTATTCTCAACATACGTTCGTCGTGTTCGGCATCTGCAGTTGGTCTGTCATCGGGATAAAAGAGATTAATCTCTTTTGCGGTCATTTTGCTTTTTTTCAAGTATTAGACTGCACAGTGATGTTCAGGGGTTGCTTGTATTTCCTGTCCAGAAATTTTTTCGCGCTAATATATCAGATGTATATTTAGTCTCTGAGAATGGTAACATGAACTTATAGCGAAAGGTTCGGGGAATTAAAAATACAAAAGATCGAAACGAGAAGATTAGAATCTAAAGAAACAAAAGACTGGAACGAAACATTTCTTTCTAACCTCTATTTTTTACTGTGCCTGAGTGCTGTTGCGCGATTTTCACAACCGATAAATGTACAACAGTGTTATTGGCTTGGTTTACATCATGCACTTGATACGCGTACTAAATAGTAACTCTCTATTAGATAATCTTAATATCGACGATATATAAACAATGGTATATTAAGCTGGTATAATACTCATCAACAAAACATATTGTATTGATTGAATGCATCGCCGTTGATATGCATTGTCGATATTAAGATTATCTAATAGAGAGTTACTATTCAGTACGCGTATCAAATGTACGATGTAAACCAAGCCATTAAATAAAAATTGTAAATTTTATTGTTCTTTCTTATGAACTATAATTGTTATTATTTATGTATTACCTGTACTATCTTGCTAACACGCAGATTCATTTTTGGCTAGAATTGAACAAATTATTACTTACAAATGTTCTCTCTTTCTCTCTCCCTCTCCCTCAATGCTGCTTTCAAGTGTTTAAGGACAAATTTTCTAACGTTACTGACCGGTATACTACAAATAATTAGTTATGACAATTGTCCACTCTTCGATTGAAAGATGAAATATTATAGTCCTCGGAAATAATTTCAAGATATGTCCCAAAAAATCACAGATTATGTCTAAACATGTTCGAACACGTCTTTACGTCACGACAGTTAAATCGGAACTTACTTGCAAACTACTGTTAGCAAATCCGATTAATGATCGATTAATCAAAAATGGCGGAAATATTTTCAAAGAATAATCGCTTTAGCGACCAATTAGCAATTAAATTGAATATTGACGTATATCTTGCGATCTCTCAACTCAGATACAAAAATATGCGCCAATCGAATTTACGAATCACTAGCCGCTGCATTGCATTCGGCCAGATGTGACCAATCACATCTCAAACTTGCCGTTTGCGTTGATTTACACAGAGAGGTCGTTATCAGTCATTATGTGGTCTGTTCTTTTCAGCTGCACTGCTGAACTAGTGCGGGAGCGTCCCGATTGACCACGGTACGATTGGACACAACCAACTGATGAAAAGAATTATCTAGTGAATTACTAGGTCGAACCAATCATTACAATCTGTGTCCAATCGTATCGTGGTCAATCGGGTCCCACCCAACTGGTGCAATAAGTTAGGGTGCCTCCCCATGCGGCGTAACTTGTGTAAACGTAACTTGCGCCAACCAATCATATCATCTCATTTAAGTACCAGTTTCCGCCTAGTTATTTTGTGCTCTACGCTATTTTCGTTACATCAAATCCAATTTTTTGCTGTATTAGTAAGCATATCTTTTAGTGTCGTTTGAACTAAAAGTGGATATTGTCACATATAAAAAGTCTTACAAAGCAATAATAAGAAATGAATAAGGATCAAATCAGGGTAAATTAAGAAATAGCTTTATATCGAGTTTATTATATAATGTTGTAATAGCGTTCTGTCATATTTGATTCACTACTTAGGGCATGTCGATACAAAATTTTTTAAAGTTATTTGTATATCAATAGAGTGTTCGTGTTGCTTGCATTTTTGCATGTAAAAGCTTTCCCATACAGCACAGAAGCTTGTAAATTTCAACGTAACACATTGCAGAAACATAGCATAGACATGGAATTGTAACATTTCATCGGAAATATTAAAACAACATTGCAGGAACATTATAAATAATTAAAAACTATAATGCTATAATTTATGCATAATACATGTATGATATATGCGTTTTGTAAAGATACAATTAATGTAATAATGTAATTCGGTTGATATATGAAAGTATATATTATATTTTAGAGCAAAAGAACGATGCTTTGCAAGAAGTCTTAATAGAAGCATTGAAAGAACCAACAGCGCAGGTTACTGATCCTAGATGGAATTTTAGCACGGTTGGGAAAAGGCATGCGAAGGCTGCCATATCGCGACAGAGCTCGTCTGGAAATACAATTTTTGACGTTGCTCGCCGAAAAGGAAGATCTTTGTGCTTACAATGATCCAAATACTGAACAATCAACACGGTATTAGCTGGAAACGTTTTTATTTTTATTTTACGAAAATATTTAATAATTTTTTATTTTTATTTATTACGAAAAGTTAATGCATGATAGTTAATATATATCCCAGACAGCACAAATCTCCTCGGGATGTCCTGAGGATGTCCTGAGGACGTCCCGATGTCCTAAGGACATCCACAGAACGTCCATGGGATATCGTGTGCTGTTTGGGATATACATTATATCTTCTTAAACAT